CGGAGCCCAAACAAGGCCTGCTGTGAAACAGATCACTCACATATAAGTTCGCGTCGAAGCCGCAGAAAACAAACAATTCCATGAGATTCCGAATATGACCTTGAGCGTATCTCACCTGGATTTAGAGGACACCTCAAGGACAAATTTTGTGCACTGAGTACTAATTACTGAAGGCCTGATGAGCTGTGGCATCCAAAATGTTTCAAGCCTCGAGTTGCCATCTTGCAGAATTCTATGGACAAAATGTTGAATGATACAGGGAGCATGGAGGCGCATCAGGAGAAGATGGGAGGGACTCACAGAGTCGCCGGCCAAAAAGAACTAGTCGATACCCGATCATTTCAAGAAGTGGTGTATGATCAAGAATCAATGATATTGGCTTTTTAGACTAGCGAAGGTGGCTCTGTGGTTTTTAGACTAGCGAAGGTGGCTCTGTGGTTACGAGTTGGGCTGCTGACCACAAGGTCACACAAGGTCAGCAGGTGGAAACCACCAGCCACCCCTCAGGAGAGAGACGAGGCTTTCTACTCCCGCAGAGAATTACGGTCTTCGAAATTCACAGGGGGCAGTTCTGCCCTGTCATGTGGGGCTGCTATTAGTCAGAATAGACTAGACAGCCATGAGTTTAGATTTTTTTTTTTCCTGGAAGGGGCCCTGTGGTAGTTACATAATCTCCTCTCAACTTGAGAGTATTAAGAGTGAAGGGGTGGAGTTTAGCCTGTCAATCAGGTCACAGCTTGATGACCTTATTTGGAAGCGGAACAGAGATAAATAGCTCACTGGAGGCCAGACCCACTCTCTCTGTGCTTCACATTCCTGATGACAAGCCACATGGGGCCACGCTGATGGCAGCCAGAGTCCAGGTATGCTTCTACCACCATTGGATCCACAAGGCTTTCCACCTACTGGCCTGTGATCTTCCTGCATTAGGCATCATTGCATGTGCTGGCGAGTGTGAAGAGGAATTTATGGACTAGTATCGAACATATGGGCTAATACCAGACTTAAGCATTTGATCTAGACGGAACTGGGATGTTTCTTCAATATACAATTGCTCTTTGATATAAAGCCATCTCTTAAACAGATAAGTGTCTATGGATTTGTTTCTCTAGTCAACCTGGATTAACAAAGGTCCTCTGGAGTTCTTTTCCAAAATATCCCCTTCAATAAACACACTTTTTCTGTTCAGCACTTAAAAATAAGAACCAGTCGTATTGAAAAAAGACATCCAAACAGCACTGAAGGCATTAGAAAAATATAAGAATGCAAGAATTGAGAATTTACTGTCAGAAATTGTTGATGCTGGCTTGACATAAGGAATGGCATTTTAAGGTTTTATTTTAAACTCCTTTTGACCCTTCCCTGCCTGTGTTCTCAGCCTGTGCTGAGTGGTCAGAACGTCCATGATCGGGTTTAGTGACTGTGTATCCCCCGTCCATCTTCTCTGGATGCTTCCTGTATTGTTCGATATTTTGTCCATAAGACTCTTTACCATCACAGTGCAGTCAGAAAGTCCTTCGTAATCCCTACTGTTCCTGGAACGTGCCGCCCTCGGTTTCTGTAATGAACGCTTGTTTCGGCTTCTGCAACTCGCTTGCATGGTTGTGTAGAAAAAACCCAGACCCTCCACTTATTCATCCGGGCTGTGGTTTTCACCTTTATAAGCTGATCCCTTGCAATAGTGAGGGGCTCCTGGGGCTAGAGAGATCTTTGGTCCTTCCACCTCCACTGGCACCAGCTAATAAAGACTCTAAATGGGAACTCTGGGAGTGATCGTGGTCACTCGACCCGTGAGTTTACCACAGATGTTGCCACAATCTGCTGAAGCGCCAGAAGTACCTATTCGTCTCTGGCAAGGACTTTGGAAGACTAGTCTCGGTGATACCAAAAATGACCGAAAGAGACCCATCTTCACACCCATTCCCAAGAACGGGGCCCTCACAGAATGGGGACATTATGGAGTGATCTTCGTGTCGCGTGCAAGTAAAGTTTGGCTGAAGGCAATCTTAAAAGGCTGCAGCGGCACATGGATAGCGAGCTGCCAGATACTCAAGCTGGACTCAAGAGGACATGGCAGGAGGATTGTCATCGCTGATGTCAGATGGATCTAGAACAGTGGTTCTCAACCTTCCTACAGCTCCTCATGGCTGGTGACCCCCAGCCATAACATTATTTTCTTTGCTATTTCATCACTGTCATTTTGCTCCTGTGATGAATCTGGAGAGCCCGTGAAAGGGCCGTTCGACCCCCAAAGGGGTGGAGACCCACAGGTTGAGAACCGCTGGTCTAGAATGAGAGCAGAGGATACCAGAAAGTTGTTTTACTTGTATTTTATTGATTTGGGAAAGACATCAGTTTGAATGGATCAAGACAAACTCTGGCTAACCTGGCAAAGAATGGGAATTCCAGTATCCTTAATTATGTTCAAGGAACCCTGGTGGCATAGTGGTTGCCTGCGAGGCTGCTAACCCCATGGTCGATTGTTCAAAACCCTCAGCCACTCTGTGAGTGACAGGGGAGGCTGCTATTCCCATAAAGGGTCACAGGCTTGGAAACCCACACCAGCAGTTCTGCCCTGCCCTACGGGGTCATAGTGAGTCAGAATCCACTCGATGGCATGGGTTTGGGTTTGGTTTGTTAACTGGGTTCCTGTGGAAGCAGTATTTAGACCAAGTATTGTGCATTGGGGTTGTATCCTTTAATCATACTGACTCAATCGGTGTGCTGAGCAGATCATGACTGGCTGCTCTGTAAGAAAGACGTGCTTCAGGGCTGGACAGAGGCGTAGTTACAAGCTGCAGATGACACAACCTTGTTTGCTGGTAAAAATCAAAGATTGCAGCCTTCAGTATGGATGGCAACTCCATGGAAAGAAAACTCAAAGCCTCACAAATGGATCAATAGGAAAAATCACAATAAATGGAGGTGGGGGGGAAGAAGTTGTCAAGAATTTCATTTGAAGACTGAAGAAGAATCGGTGCATTTGAACTATGATGCAGGAGAAGGATATTGAAAGTCTCACGGACTGCCAGGTGAACAAATAAATCTGTCTTGGAAGAAGTAGACAGCCAGAATGCTCCTTTTGATAGTAAGACAAAGAAAAAAAAATGAAACGGAAAAACAGACTCACTGACTTATTGTGACCTTTTAGGACAGGGAGAACGGTGGGCTTCAGGCACAGTAACTCTTCACAGAAGTAGAAAGCCTCATCTTTCTTCCTCGAGGCTGGCTGGTGGTTTAGCACCGCCAATCTTGTGCTCGGCAGCCCAGCTCCTAACCACTACGCCACCAGGGCCCCTGCAGAAGAGGCCAGTCCCCGGGAAAGGGCACCCCGGCTGTTGAAGTAGACGAGGTGGGGTGGGAAAGGGCAGTGTTGCAGCTCTGTCGTATAAAGAGTGACCAGAAGTCCGAACGGACTGGACAACTGACAACAAGAGGGCCCCAGGCGGATGGTTTCCATCACCCTGAAAATGCACTATTTGGTCTTGTCTTATTCATGACTTAATAAAGCTGTCTCTATAAAACATATTTGAATTTGGGTCTCCTTTGCCACTATACCGCACTAAAGGGAGGAAATAAGTTTATGTTCGTTTTAAGCACCTACCTGGCTGGTGAAAGCCCTCCCTGCCCGCCCACGTACACACACTACGTGGGGTTGTTGACGCCCTTCTGGGAGGGCTGCTCTCAGCTCCCACTCAAAGTGCTCTGAGCTGTGTCCTTCCAGGAGCACGGAGCATTCTAGGAGCCAAGCATCATCATTACCACCTGAACCTCCCTCCCCCAAAGACACTCAAGTCCACTGGCATCACGTTGATTCCAGCCCATAGCTCCCCAGTAGGTCAAGTACAACTTCCCCCATAGAAGTGCCAAGGCCATAAATCTTTATGGCTGCAGACAGCCTCCTATTTCTCCCAGGGAGGGGTCGATAGGTTTGAACCCCGGCCTTCGCATTTACTGGCCCAAGGCTGCACCCACTGTACCGCCAGAGCATCTATAGCTCCCACCGCCCGGAGCACTTGGCATTCAACACACTTGGGAGAATTACGATGGGGACTTTGGGTCTCTGTCATAAGACACAAATGCCTACCACTTGCAGTTTACAGAAGGCAATCCTGCCATTAGCTACAAGGCAACAAAAAGACACAGTTCCACTGAGCTCCTGCCCCGCTGAAGGCTGGCTCCTCCCCTGATGACTTGACGGGAAGATACCCCCCCCTCACAACACACACACACAC